TTTTTTTTTTTTTTTAAATAATAATGGTGATGGACTGAAACTGATCCAATCATACCTTTTATTCAGTTGAAAACAAAAAAGGACACATGCATGAGATGGCTATTTCTGAATCAGGTGAAATAACTCTAACAGCCTCAAGGTAAAGAGGGATCAGATTGTCAAGCTAAAACTCATTAACACCTATTAAAACTCAACTGCTTATAACAAGTAAGCTTAGCACTGACTGCATAAATCGTTTTCTTTAAACAAAGTAAAAAAAAAAAAGAAAGTGATGCTATGGGACACATAACTTCCAGAGCATTAAATTTTAAGAAAAATAACCTGATACATAGTATAATAAAATCCTATGGAAGAACAAAGCTGTACCTCTACCTAAAATACTGCTATAGCAAGAATGTGGTTTTTTGTATTTTTGAACTGTCAGAGACAGAAAATATCTGTAAATTAAAAGAGGACCAATGCTAAAAATGCAAATAAGTTGCCATTTCTGGAAAAAAGTTTAAAACTTAAAGTTAGGTGTCATTAATGCTGAATGGAAAATGGTTTTAAATGGCAAATTTTATACTACATGTATTTTACCACAATAAAAAATAATGGGTAGGAAAAATGGTGTTTGACAAAACATTCTAGAGACAGGTATGGAAAGAAAGAACAGAGTATCACCAAGTCCACGACTATGACATAAGCCCCTTTTGGAGACCTGGGAAAATCACTTACAGCAGAAATCTGTTTGGAAAATTAAAATTAATCGATTCAACTCCTATGAATTACAAGGAGTATACTACATGGCAGTGGCCACTGACACTGGCTTTCAATGTTTCAAAGTATATCATCAAAGCAGTTTTGATTTTTTTTTTTTTTTAAAAAGACAGGGTCTTGCTCTCTGGCTTAGGCTGGAATGCAGTGGCATGATCATAGTTCACTGCAGCCTTGAACCCCTGGGCTCAAGCGATCCTCCTGCCTCAGCCTCCTGAGTAGCTAGGACTATAGGTATATGCCACCACACCCAGCTAATATATTTTTTGTGGTAGAGACAAGAGTGTTGGTATGTTGCCCTGGCTGGTCTTAAACTCCTGGCTCCCACTTCAGCCTCTCAAAGTGTTGGGGATTACTGGCATGAGCCACTGTATCCAGTCCAGTTCTAATTTTGGAGTTAAAAAACACCCACATTGAGTCAAACGACTTCAGAGCCTACCCACCTTCACGATTATTAAGATCACAAAGGGGGCTTTTGCTAGCTGCTCAAGACATTAGTAAAGTATAAATAGTTTGCTTTTAACTGTGCTGGAGGAAAAAGTGCAAGATGTGCTCAGTAGATAAAGCTTTCAGTCTGCGGGTCAAGCAATCAGGCTCCACGGAACTAGGAGCAAAGCAATGCTCCTATAGTTGTATGACAGCTTTTATACGAAGTTATTTATTAGAAATTTCCAAGGCACTTTAACAATACAAATTTTATTAAAAAAATAACATCAAAACTGTTCAGCAAATCTATATTCAATGTAACCAAAATAAACAAACAACAAATTAAAAAAAATATACATCTATATATATATGAGCAAGAAACAAGTGCATTTTTTGGTCCCAATATTTTTTGAATATATTATCTTTATCCAGAGGAATTACATTAATGGCTAAGAAGATATTATGTATTAGATGAACAGAAATGTACCTTTAAAACTTGTTTTAAGGTCTGTAAGAAGAGCTTTGCCAATTCTTTATGTCTTTGAAATCAGAATCCCTAAGCTAATGTTAATGATAGGCCCAAGATAGAGCATGTAATAATGTCTAATGGTCTGGACAAGTATGAAATTAAGAAGCTACCAGTAAGTAGCTACACGAAATCTGTAGACAATTCTAAGAAATGTCTTGGGAGTTTGAAATAAAAACAAAACAAACACAAATAATTCAAAAGTAGACATAAAATGGACATCAGCAAATTTCATGAATCTGGGACAAAGAAGTGACAGAAAAACAAAATAGAGTAAAATAAATTTGATTAAGAACAATATAAAACCAAGCTACCAAAGTAAAATAAAAAAAAATGTTTAAAAATGTGAATATTGGCCGGGTGCGGTGTCTCATGCCTATAATCCCAGCACTTTGGGAGGCCGAGGCGGGCAGATCACAAGGTCAGGAGATCGGGACCATCCTGGTGAACACGGTGAAACCCCGTCTCTACTAAAAATACAAAAAATTAAAAATTAGCTGGGCGTGGTGGCGGGTGCCTGTCATCCCAGGTACTTGGGAGGCTGAGGCAGAATGGCGTGAACCCAGGAGGCAGAGCTTGCAGTGAGCCAAAATCACGCCACTGCACACTCCAGCCTGGGACACAGAGCAAGACTCCGTCTACAAAAAAAAAAAAAAAAAAAAAAAAAAGAATATCAGTATTGCTGAAAATTCCTATAACACTGGATAAAACTTTAAATGAAAACATGAATAACTGACTTTGTGAACCGTAACTGTAGAAATTTTGTTTTTCCAAAAACAAGAAAGTAACCTTGGTTCCCAATACAACCAGAATTTTGATATTCCTTGGACTGCATGTCTGCTAGAGGAAGATTAAAGAGCAGCAGCCAAAATGGTTCAACGTCAACCTGGATGTTGAAGCACTGATCTAAAAACAATATAAAACCAAGCTACCAAAATAAAACAAAATGTAAAAAATGTTTAAAAATGTGAATATTAGTATTGCTGAAAATTCCTAGAATACTGGATAAAACTTTAAATAACATGAACTGTGACTTTGGGAACTGTAATTGTAGAAATTTTCTTTTTCCAAGAACAGGAAAGTAACCTTGGTTCCCACACAACAAGAATTTTTATATTCCTTGGACTGCATGCCTGCTAGAGTAAGATTAAAGAGCAGCAGTCAAAATGGTTAAACGTCAACCTGGATGTTGAAGCAGTGATCTCATGGACTTTTCTTGGTTAGAATCGACCCATAAGCTTAAGATCAAAAGCCAAAGCCCCCAGTGGGAAGTTGTGCTCTATTTGGTGGGCCTTGAGGTCATCTCTGGCCAAATCAGCATCAACCTTATGGGAGGTCAGTCAGGTAGGAAGGGACTCTCCCCAAGATCTGATCTCTTAAGGCCACAAACTAGAGGAGGTCTCACAGTCAAATAATTCACATTTCTTGGAAAGAAAGAACAGGCATCAGTCGTGTCCATCAAAAGGGGACACTGTCCAGGAGTACCCTGGATATTTTTTGAAACTTATGCGTTGCTTCTTCATTTGAAAAATATGAAAAACAGAACAGTAATGAACAAGGAATGAAGAAAAAATGGCTATCTGACCTAAACATGTAGGACTTATAAGAAATTAAGAAAGCAGACAAAACAGACAGAAAAAGATGAACAGTCATATTATCTGGAATGTAGTATTATGAAGGCAAGTCAAGTATAGCAGAGAAAAACAAAAGGTATTTTTGGAGAGAGCCAATTGGAGAAAAAAATGTGTTAAGGTATGTTAACCTGACACAAAGATAAGGTGGAGTGAGAATCTAGTGGCATCTGAAAGCTGAAAAGAGCTGAATGAGAGCTAGTGTCATGAACTTGGCTGTTTAACTGCCTTTTGTGTGAGAAAACACTTCAGAACTTTGAACTTAGGAACTTCCAACTTGTCTTGCACCAGGTTGCACGAACTCCATGGAGCAGGAATCTATTTCAATGAGCAGCTTTAAAAACAAAAACAAAAACAACTTTAAAATTTTTCATTTATATTAACGATACATTAAAATAATACAACAGTGCTAAAGTCCATCAAAGCAAACCGCACCGAAGGAAAATTAAACTTACCCAGAAATGGGTTCAGAAGTTGAGGTACTTTCGGAAACTGAAATCAAAAAAGTTTTACATTTACAATAGTGTATATGAAGAGTGAGACTATCAATGTAATACATGGGTCCATATGGTGTCTGATCAAAAATACTGAAATAAGTATCAGAAAATCAAAGAAACACAATTATATATACATACCATTCTCTATTATAACTTGGCAAGTATGAGTTTTACGTTGACTTAAGTGTTTAGCCATGCGATCTAAGCCAGAAGAATCAGCTAGGAAATCACATTTAAGGCACACTAGAGTAATGCCCCTATGAAAAAAAAGAAGACAGTAAAAAATATTATCATTTATGAAAATCCATAATTATATTATGAGCTCAATAATTATTTTTCCATGTACTAACTTGATTTGCATTTTAGTCTCCACAACCGTCATTTTCCAACTTTGTTATATGAACTTGATATATCTAAAATGGTTCTCCAGAAAATGGCATTGCTGGCCGGGCACAGTGGCTCACGCCTATAATCCCAGCGCTTTGGGAGGCCGAGGGGCATGGATCACCTGAGGTCAGGAGTTCGAGACCAGCCTGACCAGTATGGTGAAACCTCGTCTCTACTAAAAACACAAAAATTAGCTAGGCATCATGGCGTGCGTCTGTAGCCCCAGCTACTCTGGAGGCTGAGACAGGAGAATTGCTTGAACCCAAGAGGCAGAGGTTACAGTGAGCCAAGATTGTGCCACTGCACACCAGCCTGGGTGACAGTCAGACTCCGTCTCAAAAAAAAAAAAAAAAAAAAAAAAAAGGAAAAGAAAATGGCATGGCCATATTCAAATTATGCTAACATTTAGTGCTTTATAAATTGTCACCTCTCAACTTGTGCCTAGCTGAAAGCTAGGCATCAAGAGACTGACTGAAAGCCCAGTCTCCCTTAACAACTTAAGTAATGTGTGCAAGTTATGACTTGCAAAGCAAGGATGTAATATTCATTCACTGAAATATATAAATATACATTTGCTGAGAACCTTCTTCACCCACACTGTACTACTAGGTATTGTGGATACAACAGTAACCAAAAAAGGTACAGTCTGTGGATTCTGCAATCTAATATCTTAGTCAAATGAGGATAAAATTAGAAAAGAAATGTGAAGGTTTTAAAATCATGTAATTATCATCATCAGTTTATTAACAAAGCATACATATACTTTTGAAGTTCATCAGATACTTTAAACTTAAATATTTCACCTGTATAGGAAACCAGTGGCATACCTTGCATTGACTTCTCTAGTTTTAACAACCTGTTGTGGATTTACACCTAGCCAGGACTCCTGCACATCAAAAACTATCTTCATAAAACTGGAATCATGTGCTTTCCCCATGAAATTTAGGCGGAAAAGTCTCTCTTATGATGCCATTTCCCTAATACTGGGGCTCAAATTTCTAGTTATCTCTGACTCTCTTCTTACATAAAACATTCAATATTTCAAACATTTTATGATATTAACAATTTATTGAGTACTTACTCTATGTCAGTCTGAGGGTTTTAGACATATTGTCTGATCTAAATCTCATGGCAACCCAAAGAGATAGGTGCTATAATTATTACCCTTTTACAGAGGACAGAATTAGTTTCAGTAATCTACTGAGGCCAGGATCAGGTTGGAAATGGAGCCCTTTGATTCTGAAGCCCATGCTCTTAAACATGATGTGATACCACTCCACCACCTTAGCCCAGGGCTTTATTAAGTAAGTCTTAACCACTACAATAGCCTTAACCAGTCTATGTGTCTCATGCAGCTACAACTCATCTTGTATACTCCTCCAAAGTGATCTTCCTTCAGCACCCTTGATTCTACTCAAAACATCAATGGCTTCCCCCTCAATGTCTTCCAAATGAAAATTAAGCCCAAACTCCCTAGGCCTTGTTTTCAAGGATTCAACAATCTGGATCTAAGTTCAAAACTATCTCCCCAGACTGATCTTTTTTTATTTTTGGAATGGAGCCCCACTCTGTCGCCCAGCCTGGAGTGCAGGGGCGCGATCTCGGCTCACTGCAACTTCCACCTCCTGGGTTCAAGCGATTCTCTTGCCTCAGTCTCCGAGTAGCTGCGATTACAGGTGCACACCACCACGCCCGGCTAATTTTTTTCTATTTTTAGTAGAGATAGGGTTTTGCCATGTTGGCTAGGTTGGTCTTGAACTCCTGACCTCAGGTGATCCACCCACCTCAGCCTCCCAAAGTACTGGGATTACAGGCTTGAGTCACTGCGCCCGGCCAACTTTGATCTTAGTATAATACTATGCTATATGAACTTCGTGCTTCATCCAAATTTTACTCCTAGTTACTCCAAAATTACTCCACTGTGATTCAGAAGAATGTGTAGTTTCTGTTTTTTCCTTTCTGAACTTTTATTAATGTTATTTCTTCCATCTAGAAAGCCCCCTGTGCCTCTTCTTTTAAGTAGAAACCTCTCTCCCCTTTGAAATCAGGATCTCTTATTGCACTTACTAGGAACCTCTTTGTATTACTGTAGTTATTTATGTTCACACCTTTTATCCCTTTAATAAATTGTACATTCCTTGACGGTTGGTACAAGCCTTCTTCTTCATCATGGTCATCTGTATAGGACTTGCTACATTGTGTTATACATGATAGGTGCACAATAAATAGCTAAAGAATGAATATTTCATTTTAACAAAATAGTAATTATGAAAAAATTGTTTATAGAAATATAAAATGCTATGTCCATACACAGATTTTTAAAAAAATTTTCTGAGACTGAATCTCACTCTGTCACCCATGCTGGGGTATAGTGGCGCAATATTGGCTCACTGCAACCTCTGCCTTCCAGGTTCAAGCAATTCTCGTGCCTCAGCCTCCCGAGTAGCTGGGATGACAGGCATGCACCACCATGCCAGGCGAATTTTTGTATTTTTAGTAGAGATGGAGTTTCGCCATGTTGGCCAGGCTGATCCTGAACTCCTGGCCTCAAGTGATCCACCCACCTTGGCCTCCCAAAGTGCTGGGATTACAGGTGGGAGCCACTGCACCTGGCCCATACACAGAATTTGACCAATTTTCTATTTAGATGTGAGATCCACTCGAATTGAAAAAAAAAGCACCTCAGATCTTTCAAATCATACAGTTCATTTAAAAACTAAGCATACAATTGAGCTTGACCATCACGTGGTAAAAATCAAAGTGAAATCTCATTTTTAGAATTAAATCTCTTTTCATTCTTACAAAGCATTTTTCAGTAAAGGTAACACCTAATATATTTTACTCTTTTCTAATTCCTCGAATTCAATGTTTTAAAAATAGCATAATTTTTTTTTTTTTTTAGATGGGAGTTTTGTTTGCTCTTTTGCACAGGCTGGAGCGAAGTGGCGCGATCTCGGCTCACTGCAACCTCTGCCCTCCGGGTTCAAGTGATTCTCCTGCCTCAGTCTCCCAAGTAGCTGGGATTATAGCCACCATGCCCGGTTAATTTTGGTATTTTTAGTAGAGACAGGGTTTCGCCATGTTGGCCAGGCTGGTCTCGAACTCCTGACCTCAGGTGATCCACCCGCCTCGGCCTCCCAAAGTGCTAGGTTTACAGGTATGAGCCACCGTACCCGGCCTAACACGAGTATGTTTTAAAAATACAATAAAAATTTCCTCTATGAGCTCTTGGTCCAACATTATCCACATAATTCATTTTCAACATATACATTAACTTATTCAACAAATATTTACCAAGTGCCTACTATGTGCCAGGTACTATGTGCCTGGCAAACATCTGTCAACATGAGCAAAATAATTAACAAAGGAAGATGGAGTCAAAAAGATATCAAAATAATGTAAAAAAATAGATGTTTTAGTGGATTCTGAGCTAAGTGTGTGTGGTGTAACCAATGGTAATTATCAATGCCTTTAGAAATATTTATCAGTACTTTTTTCTGTACAGTAAACAAGTTATATACTTTAATTCTAAAAACATTAAGAATTATGAAGGCTATATATTGATTTCAAGTATTATGGTATTTTCAAAAACTTCCTTCTATTCAGATATGGTTGGAGAACCTTATTTTTGTTATTTTACAAATGCATATGCAAGAAGGTTTCATCTTAATGCTTGACACTACAAAGAGTTTAGTCAGAAATGATAGGCTATCTCTCCAACTTTGGTCTAAGGATATAATAAACAGAACTCTATCATTTCCAAAGTAGGCACTCCAACATCAGTTTTAAAAAGTTACTGCAACATTTCAATGGAAAGAAAAACAAAAAAAAGATCAATGATTACCTGAGAGTTCCTGAATGCTTCTTGAAAATACAAAACCGTTTACCTGGATGGTTGCTATGAGAGCTTGAGAAACACGAGACAAACAAGATTTTATTAATTTTATTATACAACGCCATATTAATTTTATGACCACATTTCAAGCCAATGCCTAATTTCTTAGTTTTGAATAAAAGATCACGATCTAAATAATAAAATGCTGTTGGTTATTGCTATAATCTGAATTTCTGTGTCACCCCAAAATTCATGTTAAAATCTTAACCCCCAAAGTGATGGTAATAAGAGGTGGGGCCTTTGGGAGGTGATTAGGTCATAAGGGCAGAGCCCTTATGAGATTAGTGCACTTATAAAAGAGATCCTAGAGAGCCAGTGTGCCCCTTCCACCATGTGAGGACGCAGTGAGAAGGTGCTGACTATGAGGAATGGGCCCTCACCCAGACACCGAATCTGCCGGCACCTTGATCGTGGACTTTCCAGCCTCCAGAACTGTGAGAAATAAATTTCTGTTGTTTATAAGCTACCCAGTCTATGGTATTTTGTTATAGCAGCCTGAATGGACGAAGATAGTCATCTCTGTTTAATTCAAGAATTTTAACTTACATTCCACTTTACCTGTATATTTTCTAATTACATATTCCCCTGAGAATTTTCTTAGATGATCAGTATCTCACCATTAGTAAAAAAAAAAATGCTTGAGTTAAAAATGCAGTGTCAAATTAAAAATTTTTTAACTATTAAGAGTAAGAACAATTTAAAAGATATTTGATAATGTATTTTGCTATGATAGAAATTGTTAAAATAATTATTTTTTGTTTCAGAGTCTTGCTCTGTCACCCAGGCTGGAGAATAATAATTATTCATTACATTTTAATCTTAGTATGTTTGGGGAGGGGGATAATCTGAATGATCCTGGAAGTAAACACTACTTGAGATAAATGCCATTGCTTAATTCAATAAACATGAAACATTTAAAGAATCCTTTGCAATTACCAGGAGAACTTTCAAAGAGAGCAAATTAAGGGAAGCAGAGCTCAAGAATTAAAACAATGCTTCTCCTATACACAGATCAGAAAACCACTAACCAAACTTCAGAGCCAATGGTAATAGCTTTTATGCCTCCCTTTAAATTGATAAGGAGAGCTTTCCTGTGTTAGAAAACCAGGCAAGATTAGCCAGGATTAGCCTAGCACAGTATTACTCAAAGTGTGGTCCATGGACCAGCATCATCAGCCTACCTAGAAGCTTGTTAGAAACACAAAGTTTAAGGCCTTACTGCAAACATAGTCAACCAATCTCTGGCAGTGGGGCCCAGAAATCTGTTTTCCCAAGTTTTCCAGCTGATTCTTATGCAAGCTAGTTTGAGAAGCACTAGCCCTGTCTTGCACTGACAGACCCCACACAGCAGGTCAACAGTTACCCTCAGACACAAGGTAACCATCACCAGCATACTATATATGCATGGGAAAATAAAGATTCTGGCTAGCTGTTAATTTCAAGAAAATATCCTCAGAATAGGCACTATGGTGAATACAAAGAAAGAGCTTCTCTCTCAAATAGATAATAGAGACACATGTGAGGCAGAAGAGCGAATGTTACAGAACTCAAAGAAAGGAATGATTCCTATGACTGGCTGTGCTGATCAGATACTTCGCAGAGGGTGAAATGAGAGGGAAGGAGAGGAGCCTTCCAGAGAATAATCAAGAACAAGAAAAAACTACTTTAGATACTGAATATGAAGAATCTATACATTGGGGAAGATAGATCAATTTTGGGGGCCTGTCTTCTCGCAATGGAGTTGGCATAGCCTGGGAATAAAGGTACTCAACCTCTGAGAAAATGAAGCCTCTGAACATACAGAACTCAAACCTATGACAAAAGTCCACACCGAGTAGGAGTGAGGGTGCACCATTCAGAGGGAGGTACCTGAAGTAATGAGGGAAACAATGTGCCCCTGAAGTAGGGGAAAAGCAAAGGGACCTATGAGGCCCTTAGAAGAGTAGAAGTGGAAGCTTTCAGTTCTAGACGAGGTTAATGATGAGTAAGAGCTCAATGTGTGTGATGACAGTGCAGGGGCTCACCAGAAATTAGGAAAAGGTTATGAAGGTAACTTTAGGTCAGTTGGGAATGTTTGGGGATAGAATGGGGCTGAAGGTTCTGCAAGACAGTTGGTGAGCCTACGGAAAATGGGAGAGAGGAGGATGGAATGACACATGGGTTTAAGTAATGCCAAAAATGTTTTCCAATTTAATCCTCTATAAATTAGGGGCAGAATTAAAGCCTCATTAGGGCAGCCAAGTGTTTGGCACAGAATAAGAGAACAACATTACTCACAGCAGTGTACTAGGGGAAGGGTTGGCTAGGGTCTGCTTTAGAGAAACTGGGGTATAGGTGCAGAACCACTATAGTAGTGGAAGAGGCAGACTGGAATATTGCAGAAGGTGGACTC